TATTTTTATTCATAATTGAACCATCTCTCACCACAATATGTAAAATATATATTTAAGCAAAAATAATAAAAGAAATAAGACAAAAGGAAATAGTGGACGAGTTACAGCAGTATGACTACCACAGGCTCAAATCTAGCTCAGCTTTAACCAGGTCCAGGAAGTAATGAGAGTGCCAGTGTAGCGGTCTGATTGCTAAGACAAGCGCACAATTGATGACCGCAGCTCCCGGAGCCGGAAACCAAAGACCACTCCTGGTCCGGCAGCGGTTTATCTTTCATTACAAGATGGGCATGTAACGATGTAACCTGGGCACTGAGGTGAAGAACGCAAGCCGACAGGAATAACTCGGCAAAGCTTTCCTAATGTATTAGCTACGCTGATGCGCATTCATCCGCGCAGCACAGTTCAATTGTGGTTTATTAGGCTCAACAAATAGGTCCGACACCTTCCAAGTAGAACACACCAGCTAGCTTGTAACAGGTGTAAAGTCTCTCCAAATTGGCGCACGACTTTTTAACCGCTCACCCTTTTAAAAGATTACAGGCATCAGTGCGAGAAGGATACAACGAACGTCGATCTAGAATCTAGAGAGAGAGAAAAATATTTCATGCTGGCTGCGTCATATCTGAGCGCTCATGCGTTAAAGGAACAAGATTAGCAGCCTTGTAAAGTTTACTGGGAGTAAGCCAAAAAATTAATTTAAATAATTATTTCAGCTTGGGAGAATTAGAATACAAACAAAATAGATCAAACTTCTTCTTCTTCTTCTTCGTTCTTAATTATTAGTGTTGAAGGGGATCGAGATTTATCTGCCAGTGGGTTTGAACTCGAGACTGTTCGAATGTATCAACCATGAGCTTTTTGCCGACTCGACCACGCCCCCAACACAATTAAGCGTTACGTGTCAACTGGTTATGCGCCATTGAGGCCATTGACTCCGATTTCAGCCTGCTTTTCTTTTTGGATTTGCTTCCATAGCCTTTGTCCAACCAAGAACAAACTACAAGGCAGCAGTTGTTTAATTTTGGAGTTGTCTCTCCTAGAAGAGTGGCTGTCCCCAGCTAACGAGCCTCATCTGCCCGAGGGTTCGAACTCGAGACTTTTCGGTTTAGCAACCATGAGCTTTACCGACTCGACCACGCCGACCCCTATAGATCAAACGATACACACAATTTATGTAAAGCATCGTTGGCTAAAAACTGCGCCACACTACATCAAATCGATTTTTGACGTAGTCATAAACTTTATAGATGCGAATGCAGCATTTTTACTTTATGATAAAGTAAAAATGCTGCATTCGCATCTATCGTAGGTGGTACTGAAACAACACCACCAATTGTTTTCTTCTAGAATAAATAATTAAGATTGCACTTCAAAATTTAGTTAAAAAATTGAAAGAAGCGGCAGGATCTCAATGTTTTACAGCCAGAATAAAACAAAACGCTGTCGTACAATAAGAGCTCGAAACAAATTACATTTGTTATTCAAATCTTGCGATTCCCAAAGAATGTTCGTGATCGTGCAAAAGGTCAATAGCTCCACTATCTACTTCCCTACCACAGACATCGGTATGTGTACGGACAAACCAAGCAAGTATCAAGATCTTCAGGCGGCTAAACTCTTTGTTTTAACCAGCCAATCAAGGCCTGACCTATGTGACATGACAGAACTCTCCATGGTAACACCTGATGACGCTTCCCTTCAAAATGTCAGACATGGGGCCATAGGTCGGCCTGCTCTAGTTCGCGATTCGTTACCACCGGGACTCATGCAGGGATCCTGTGAGTCACGGCACTTAAAAACGGCGTTAACAAAATTAACCGCAGGGCCGCTGACCAGTCCGGAAATTTCCGGCTGTCGTGAAGGGATTAAAAAATACACCGGATGATTGGTGGCAATAGCGTATCACAGTTTCAGTGTCATTAGAATGTCGCGATTATGTGGCTAATTTAATCAATATACAGCTTAATATTAATATTCATTAGAACATAATATATTTCTTTTCTCAATACTAACTAAAAGTGGAGATAAACCAACGAAGCCACGAAGACACTAGTCTAGAAGCTAGAGGCAGACATTTTTGATGTGTTGGATCAAAGACAGCAAGAACGGGAGATAATTCTTGTTAACTAGGAAAATGGCAGCCCGGCCTAAAATAACTATAAAAATCTAATTTCTCTTCCAGCGGTTGCTCAGTATCAAATTATTGGAATTAAAGGGACAAGCTAGAATTTAGCTTGTCCAAGTTAATCAATAACTGAAACTGGTGACTGAAATTAAGAAACAATTAAATATTAATCAATATGACATAGCATATATAAAACCAGTATCATTCATTCAAAGTAATTCAAACGATATTATTGTTAAGAAGTGTGTTGTTTTTTGTACATTCAAGTAGGCGTATGTTTTTTGAGGAGAAAGTCAATACTGAAAAGAATAGACATAGGCCTGTTTCTCAATGTTGGAAAATTTTAAACTATGTTCACTATTCGTTGGTAATAATCTTATTAGGTTAATTAAACTTGGATAGTGTCAAATATGGAGTATAGGATTTAAGTAGTTTGAATTAGTACTTTCGTGATAAAAACAGTGAGAGTATTTAAAATTAAAATGCCATTAAAAGAACCAGTCTGTCTCTGCGCCAAAAAGAACGGTACAAATTAAATTATCCTTCAGTAGAAAGTTGAACACTTAACCATAATCATGCATCAAAGGGTTGTTATTGAGTTTATTACCATATTTTTAAAACTTTAATGAAGACAAAATGTTGTACATCAAATAGAACTATAACTAGACAAAATATAGACCCGAAGAAATAAATACTTCTACACTTTGTGTTAAAGTTTTATTTAAAAAATCATGAATTTACATATGGAGAAAGAGAATGTTTTTAAATGTTTGAAGTTCAAGTGAAATATGGACTCAAACTCTCATGTTAAATAGCTGTATATAAAGTGTATTGTATTATTATCAGTACATCAATATCATTATGTATATTAAGGTTAGAAATTACTTCATGTTGTTACTACAAATTTTAGACTACAAATAAATATGTACCCACAAGAACCAATATTGTTTGAAATATTAAATGAAACAATTTATATTGAAGTAAGCAATGTTTTTTAGCGATCAAATCTTTTCTTGCCAAAAATTACTATATAATCGTTATCAAATTTTAAGTGTAAGAACACACATCTCAATTCAAACAGATCAAATTGCAAGCAAACAAACACCGGATTGATTTTCCTGTGCAGAGACAACAGATTAGCTTTTAAAATATTGATTTTCAATAGCCATACACTGGAGGGAGAAAGCAAAATACAACTCTTGTTTCAATTTGTGGATTAAACTTGATCTCTTCATAATCAATATTTTACAAAAACTACCATTAAAATAGATTGATGAACATTGATATAATTATAATTACTGAAGAATCATTAAGCCTATAGAAAAATTACACACAGCGTTATTATGTCTGCATAATGTAACACATCAAATGTGTTTTATAATATGAAAAAAAAATCATGTTAGTTGATACAACATTGTTGGTTTTATGAAAACAATATCAGGTCTTAGATAAATGGAAAACATACATGAGATAAGGTTAGTGGAAAGTACTATGTTTTGAAATATAACTGCCTAGATTATCTTTCTACGTGAAATTTACTTTGAAGTAAACAGGGTTTAAAAAACCCTGCTTTATTTTCGTACTGATCGGTGAACAATGCAGTAATTTATAAAACTAATAATTAGTAAACTTTAAGGTATTATTATAATTATTTTAAACTAAAATATGGGCTACATTTATAGGGCTTTGTTGACGTCAGCATTTATTTAATTCAGCAATTTAAAAAAATAATTACACACGATGGCCTACACGATTTTTATTAATATTAGGCCCTAAGCAAAAACATTCAGTAAATAAGTAAAACACAATTCACACACCGGGTCACTAGGAGATGTAATATTAACAAGTGATTAGCAATGAAAATAGAAGAGTAGATTTAGTATTCCTGCTACGTTGGTTTATTATTTTTTTATTTTAGTTTAGGCCTAGTAAATTTTTTGCTAAAACTTTGAACTTACATAAATTATTTATTTATTTATTAAAAACAAAATAGGCAAATAGCCTGGTAATTAAGTAATAGGTAGATTCCAGATCTATGCCTGTAGGTAGCCTAATAACCTTAATAATTGGCAACTGTTGGCTTACACATTTTAATTTAAAATTTAGACCAGCACTACACTACACTTTATTAGAATGACTAGAATTAGTACTAGATCTAGAATTATCTGATTCTAGTAGATCTAGAGACCTAAATTCTACAAAAAGAAATTGAGTACTATTAGTCTAGTCTCATTTAGTGTCATTTACAACTTTAGCATCTACACCTACACTACACTTAGACTACACTACATTCACTACTAACTACAACACACTACACCTCCAGTTTGTTCTTCTCTACAGAGTCTACATATATATTCAACATAATCAATAGGCCCTAATGGATAGAATCTAGATCTAGTAAGTAACACAGACATAGATCATGGGTGATTAACAAATCTAGGCCTAATTTAATTAAATTTTAATGATACTCAAGGAAAAGAAAGTAAACTGAATGTATAGGACTAAAATTAGAATTTTAGAATTAGATTAGATTCTAGAATTAGATCTAGTAGATCTAGAATTGTTAGTTTTTTTAGTACAGTCAAAAATTCTAGACTAGAAAATCTAGATCTAGACTCTAGATTCGATTCTAGAATCTAGATCTAGATCTAGACTCTAAATAGATTAGATCTAGATCTAGATCTAGATCTAGGTCTAGATCTAGATCTAGAATTTACCGAATTTATGACTAGACTAGACTAGAGTCTAGCTACTAGTCTAGCTAGACTCAGCTAGAGTCTAGTTTGAATTAAAATAATTTTAGGTAGGATGGTGAGCTTGAAGTTGAAGTGAAATAATTGACAAAAAGAACATATTTTGGAAACGTGCTCACCTTGGACAGCGTGCGATACGCACGAGCATGATATGAGTATCCACAAAAATACGAGCATGACATCGAGAGTAGAAGAAGAAAGAAGTCTGTGACTGCTGGAGCCCATCAAAACACAGTTCTTCCGACGCCAACTTTTTCTGTGAAATCTACGATCCATTGTAATATCCAGTTCAGAAAACACAAAAACAGACCAATGTATAGGTAGACGATAATAAAAGCAACTTTAATTATCCAAATAACTAAAATAATCCATTGAAAAGAATTAATTTCTCGCGATCAACCGACACCACAACAACTCCTGATACTACTGAACGCCATGGTTGAAAATCATGGCACCGATTTGCAAAACGAGGTTATGGAGGTCAACTTCCAAATTTGGAACGCGTTCAATATGGCTAGAATGAAGTTTTTTCGTTTAGCAAATTCGTAAACGATTTTTTTTAATTAAAAAAAATTACATAAGGTTATTAATTTTACAAAAGTTTAATATAAATTAAAGACTGATTTTTCGCTACATTTTTTTTTAGTCAGAACTGAGACGAGTGGAAACGTCGATGAGGAGATGTTCGGAACTTTTCAATACTGTGCGCCCCGTCCTTTCTCTAGCAAGAGGCCGCCTTTACTGCACAGCCGTTGCGCGGCTCGCGTGTAAAACAAGGTCGAAAACTAGGCTATTCAGAACACACAAATTGTTCGCGCGTGAGTAGTGTCCCGTTATTAGTTTAAAAGTAAAGCGCGTGATGTGTTGGTCTATTAGATCTATATAATTTTGTTATTTTGCAATTCCTCATTTTGGTTGCGTAACATTGTAAACAAAAAGATTAAGGATAATACACGAGTAACAAAAATATGACCGTTTTGACCCGTCTCTTCACCTTTCATTCTTTATAGGCCTATTAATGCACCCGTGATGTGGTCGGGGTTTTTGCGACACTTTGGTTCAGTGTTTCAGACTTTTTATCTCCGGGGGAGGAGGGGGGGGGGGCACTTGATATTTTCGGGGAGGGGGCGGACTAAATTGTCCGGGGGGGGAGGGGGAACACTGCTAAAAGATATTTTTTCTATATAAATTCCATTTCGTTCGAGGGTGGTAGACTTTCTTAGGGGGGGGGGGTCACTTCTGATGGGTGGGGGAAAGGGATCGGACACTTCTTGAAGTAGACCTGTATATTTTCAATAGAAAATATATAGGGACTATTTATATTTTCTGCTTCGTCCCGGGGAATGGGGAGGGGTATGATTGTTTTCTTTAAACTTTTGTATACAACTGTCTAAAAAGAACAGTTTGTGACGTGATTAAAATCTGGCTTTTGAAATATCAAAGGATTGTAATAAACGAAAACAAAAACAACTAATACCTTTTTTTTTTTTGCCCAGTTTTATCCGCTCTCAGTGCACCGCCATTACTACATACAAACTCTCCTCAAGTTATATGACATCTCTCACACTCCCCTCCGCCATAAACCACAACACAACTTGGTACTACAAAATGTTGGTGGTTTTAATAATTATTTATGGCATTCTTAAAAATGTTAGGAGAAATAGCTGGTTGAATTCATCCTTAAACTTAAAAAGCAAGTGTAAGGCGATTTTTTGTCAACTTTTTCATCAGTTCATTCTAATAGAAGAAATGTTGCGGAAATTGCGGGAAAAAAGGTGTTTCTTCAAGACATGACTCTCCGGGGGTTCGGGAAGGGGGGGGGGAATTTTTAGGGAGGGGGAACTAGAATTCCTGGGTGGTGGACACTAAAAACACACGACTTCCTAGCACAGTGTTAGGATTATTGCAGATACTTTAAATGTTATTGCAGATACTTTATCTAGGTGACGTGGATTGTAATGACTGACGAGAAGCCGCGTTGGTTGTTAACAGTCTTTATTATGTACAGACGCCATGTTGCAAAGAGAGGAAGAGAAAGAGCAAGTGGCCAGAGACCACTATATATAGATAACAACATGTAAGGGACATCACTCAAGATAACAATATAAATATAATACTAATACAGAGAGTGAGTTCCCTTGACCTCACAATTATTTCAATCTATTACATCCCTTTACCCTTAGAACACAATAACACATCTCTCAATAGAACAATTGATAGTATCCTAAAATCACCAATTATATTGTAACATGAACACTATGGTAGATTACATCCTTGCAAACAATGCACAATATGCCACAACATAATCAAAATACAAAACAATGATGTCAAAGTCCTTTTGACCTTTAGAATCATAGGTCTAACTTATTTGGGACTTTGATTGTCCTGCTTGACCTTCTCAGTGGCTTCTGATTTGGTGACTCAAGATTCTGACCATCTGGATTCTCTATCTCAGGAGGTCTAGGATTTAAATCATTAACTCCAGAATTTACATTTTCTGACTCTAGACAACTTGATTCACTCATATCAACAGAACTTGGTTGTGGAACAAACTGAGTTGGTGTGAACTGATCAGACTTGGTGGGATTGACAGATTCACCCTTATTATCTGCACAAGTTATTTTTAACTGGTCTGCATGTCTACGGACAATAAGTCCATCATTTGTTTTTACTTTATAAGACACAGGTCCTGTACATTGAACAATTTGACCTGGAATCCATTTTTCCTTTCTCCCATAATTTCTTAGATACACATTATCATTAACTGCAAATTCTCTTTCAATGGATGATTTGTCATGATTTACTTTTTGTGTATGTTGATGTTGGGAAACAGACCTTTGAACAGTTGGATGTAGTAGGTCAAGATGAGTTTTAATTTTCCTACCACATAGCAATTCACATGGTGCAACACCTGTTGTTATATGAGGAGTTGTGCGGTATTTGGTTAAGAACCTGTTTACTCTTTCTCTAAGAGAAACTTGTTACCGGTATTCATTTTTACCATAGCGGTTTTGAATATGCCTACCGCTCTTTCAGCTAAACCATTCCCAGCAGGATGATAGGGGGATGTGGTTATATGCTCAATACCATTTGCCACACAAAACAGTTTAAACTCATGAGCTGTGAAACTAGGCCCATTATCTGAAACAATTTGATCTGGTAATCCATGAGTTGAAAATATTTCCTTAAGTTCTATAATGGTATCATTTGCAGTGATTGTGTTCATGATTTTAACTTCTAACCATTTAGAATGTGAATTAATAACAATTAAGAACATTTTGTTCATGAAAGGTCCTGCGAAATCTATATGTATACGTTTCCATGGTTCAATTGGCCAGTCCCAGTTTTGCAAAGGTGCTGTAGCTGGTTGATTTGAATGTTGTGCACAGCTTGAACAAAGTTTTACATATTTTTCAATATCAGCATCCATATGTGGCCACCAGAACCATGATCTTGCTAGACTCTTCATTTTGGAAGAACCAAGATGAGTATCATGTAAAGTTCTTAAAACTTCTTTTTGTAACATTTTGGGGATAATTACTCTTGACCCCCATAGTATACATCCATCTTCTAGACTTAACTCTGTTTTTCTTATTTTATATGGCTTTAAGTCCTCATTCACTGACTCTTCAGGCCAACCATTCTTACAGTACTCATATACTTTTATTAAGCACTCATCTTTTTGTGTTTCTCTCTTAATATCATTCACATTTATATTGGAGTTATCCATGATAGTGAAGAGAACAAAAACATCTTCTGGTACATAGCTCAGGCTTTGGTTTTTTAAAGGTAATCTACTAAGACTATCTGCACTATTCTCAGATCCAGGTTTGTATTTCAATTCATAATTGTATGCAGTTAGTGTGATAGCCCATCTTTGAATTCTTGGTGAGGCATGCTCAGGTAGGGTTTTGTTTTCTCCAAATAAACCTAGCAATGGTTTATGATCTGTAAAGATGGTGAACTTCCTACCAAACAGAAACTTATGAAGTTTCTTAACACCAAAAATGATGCCTAAGCCTTGCCTATCTAACTGAGAATAATTTTTCTCAGCCTGGTTCAAAGATCTACTGGCAAAAGCAATGGGTCTGTCACCCTTCTCATCCATGTGGGACAAGACTGCTCCTACACCATCTGGTGAAGCATCACATGTTAATATAAGTCTTTTCCCTGGGTCATAGTGAGTTAGTAAGGTGTCAGCAGACAAAGCCTCTTTTGCTGTATTAAAAGCAGCTTCTTGTTGTTTACCCCAGTGCCAAGTTGCATTTTTCTGTAGCAGCTTGTACAGTGGTGATAGTTTACCAGACAGATTCCCTATGAACTTTGCATAGTAATTTATCAAGCCCAAAAAAGCTCTTAGTTGTTGGGTATTTTCAGGTTTGGGTGCTTCTTTAATGGCTTTTGTTTTCTCAGGTTGAGGTCTGATGCCTTGTTTGCTTAATATATAACCAAGAAAACTAATTTCTGTCAGCATGAATTGACATTTATCTTTGTTTATCTTTAAACCTTTTTCACCAACAATTTTCAAGACTTTATCTAGTGTTTTAAGATGTTCAGTGTCATTCTTACCAGTTATGTACACATTGTCAAAGTACACACAAACATTTGGAATATCCTTAAAAATACTGTCCATGACAGCTTGGAAAATTCCAGGGCTAGATGATATGCCAAAACATAGTCTTTCATATTGGTAGAGTCCTTTATGTGTGTTTATTGTCGTATAGACTTTTGAATCTGGATGCAGTTCTAGTTGAGTGTAAGCATGACTAAAGTCTAATTCAGTGAATTTGTCTCCTCCTGCCAAATTCAAAGAAATTTCCTCAATGTTAGGTATAGGGTACCTATTTAGCTCTATTTGCTTATTCAGTGTAGTTTTATAATCTCCACAAATTCTTATAGAACCATCCTTCTTTAACACTGGCACAATGGGTGTCGCCCAATCGGAATAGTCTACCTTCTTTATGATGCCATTAGATTCCAATCTACTTAGCTCATTTTCAATTTTATTCCTCATTGCATAAGGTGGAACTCTAGCTTTGCAGTATCTTGGATTTGTATCTTTAATGCTTAACTTCACTGTTCTATCATTTAGTAATCCAGAGTTACCAAAAACACATTTATTTTCAGATATTACTTTATCTAGTGAAGTAAGACTAGATTCTTTTACATTCTTCAATGAACAAATACTCTCCCAATTTAACTTAAGATCACTTAACCAGTTCCTACCTAGTAATGGCGGTCCATTTCCTTCAACCACAAGAAGAGGAAGTTTAACACTTTGACCATTATAACTTACATGAACCATACACTCTCCTATTACCGGAACATTGTCACCAGTGTATGTTGTTAGACACTTGTGACACGGCTGTAGAGGCACTGATCCTCCTGTGACAGCGTCAAACTCTTTCTTTGTTATGACTGTTAGAGATGCTCCAGTGTCAAGTTGGAAGCTGATGCTCTTACCGTTGATATTAACTTGTACATTGATGGGAGCATGACTCATTGATTTCACAGAGAACAGGCTGAAATCCGGCTGCGAATCAGTTTGAGCATTTTCACAGGTAGAGTGGTTCATTGGTTGGGTTAGGTAGTCTTGGTGAGAGTTAACATAGTGCTGCTTTTGGTTGCGGTACTGTCTTGACTGGCTAGATTTAGC